CCCCGCCCCAGGGTATGAGGTGAGAGGATGGAGACTGTGCTCTCTGTGTATGGGAGCCAGAAGGCCCTGGTGGCCCTGGAACTCCCTGATCATTGTTGTCCTGGCCTGGACATCCTCTCCGTCCTTCCTTCAACATTTATGGAGCACCTGTAAGTGCCAGGCTGGCAGCAGACAAGACCCTCGGAGTCTGTGCACATGGCGAGCTCACAGACTTGTCTCCTCCTTTCTGGCACTGAGCAGATGCTTAGGCTCACACCCTCTGCAGCCAGCCTGCCTCCTCACAGAGTCCGGGGCTGCTGCTGCCAGCGTGTGACCTGGGGGCCATTGCCCATCTGCTCTGTGCTTCCTTTTCTTTATCTGTAAAATGGGGTAGTAATGGTGCCTCCCTCACGCTTGGGACGATGTAAAGGGCTTGAACAGTGCCCAGCACACTAATATGTGTAAGCTCTTTGTGTTAGTCTGCTTGGGCTACCATGTATAACAGACGGGGTCAAACAGCAGATGTTTATTCTCTCTCAGTTCTGGAGGCAGGAAGTCCAAGATCAAGGTTCTGACCTATTTGGTTTCTGGTGGGAGCTCTCTTCCTGGCCTGCAGATGGCCGCCTTCTCGCTATGTCCTCACGTGGCCTCTCCTAAGTACATGCCTGCAGAGAGGGAGAGAGAGAGAGCGCCCTCTGATGTCTCCTGCAAGGACACTAGTCCTGTCAGATCAGGACCCCACGCCCATGAGCCCATTTAACCTTTGTTCCTTCCTTTCTCCAAATGCAGCCGCACTGAGGGGCTAGGGCTTCAACATAGGAATTTTGAGTGGACATGTCCATTCAGTCCATAGCACTCTCTTTAAGAAGATTTAGCCTATATGATCTGCCTCCCTGATTTGGTTTTTGCTAATAAACTTGCCTGGCTCGAATATAGGCCTTTACCCATTACACAGCTCTGTGGTGACCTCTTTTATGGGCATGAACCCTTTGTTTCCCAGCTCCAAGCCCTGGGTTTGGCACAAAAGTAAATCCCTTTCACTTCCACCATCTTTTTCTGAGCTCCGAACCGCCAACCTGTGGGGCAAGTATAACTGGTATTTACAGATGAGGAAACTGAGGCTCAGCGAATTCAAATGACTTGTCCAAAGTCGAGCAGCTAGTCAGTGGCAAAGCTGCTCTCAGACCCAGATATTCCCAAACTGGGCCCATTGCCCTTTCCACTTCCAGTATGGCCCCCTTTGAAATCAGAGCAGAGAGTTGTTAAGAATCAGATCGTGGAGAACCAGAATGAGTTTGGAACCTGAATTCCAGAGCCAGCTTGTTCCCAGGCCATCTCCCAGGCCTTAGCTTTTCAACTGCTAAATGGAAACAACACCCCCTGCCCTAGGACTGTGCAGCATGGGGGGCGGGGGTCACACACGTGACAAACATGAGAGCTGATGCCTACTGAAGGCTGGCTCCGTGCTGTTCCCCTGGAACTGGGCCCCTCTTTAGACAGGGCATAGAGCACAGGCACCCCAGAAGGAAACCCTGTACCCGTTAGCAACACTCCCCATTCACCCTCCCAACCCCAGCCCCTAACAACCCTTTCTGTCTCTATGCATTTGCCTATTCTGGACATTTAATATGAGTGAAATCATACAATATTTGTTCTTTTGCGTTTGGCTTCTTTCACCTAACGTAATGTTTTCAAGGTTCATCCATGTTGTAGACAAATAATTCTCCATTATATGAATATACCCGATTTTGTTCATCCATCATCAGTTGATGGACGTTTGGGTCATTTCCACTTTTTGGCTATCATAATAATGTTGCTGTGAACATTCATGTATAGGTTTTTGTATGGACTCATGTTTTCATTTCTCTGGGGTGGTTACCTAGGAGTGGAATGGATGGGTCATATGGTGAGTCTCTTTTAACTTTTTGAGGAAGTGTCAAACTGTTTTCCGAAGCAGCTATACCATTTTATATTCCCATAGCAATATATGTGGGCTCCAATTTCTCCACGTTCTTGCTTACATTTGTTATATTGTCCATTGTTTTTGTTACAGCCATCCTAGTGGGTGAAGTGGTACCTGAGTGTAGTTTTAATTTGCATTTGATGACTAAGGATGTTGAGCATCTTTTCCTATGCTTTTAGCCATTTTCTGTGTCTTCTTTGGAGAAATGTCTATTCAAAACCTTTGCTAATTTTTTTATTGGGTTATTTGTCGTACTGTCGAGTTATAAGAGTTCTTTATGTATTTTGGACATCAGTCCCATATCACATGTATGATTTGCAAATCTCCCATTCTGTGGGTTGTCCTTCCCCTTCCTTGATGGTGTCCTTTGAAGTCTCACCCACTTCTGCCCCTGCCCCCTCGCTTGGGCCTCCTTCTTTTCTGGCCTACTCATCTTTCTTGCCTGCTCTCTCCTAGGGACTTGCTCTCTCCTGGGGCTACAGGAACTGGCTCTTTCCTGCTCTGTGGACAACGTCCCCAGCAGGTTCTTGCCCAGCCCACAGCCTGAACTGCACCCAGATGTGGTCTCCCTGGATTTGGGGGTTTCTGAGGCTGTGTGACGAGCTGTGCCCACAGCCCCACAGGATAAGTGTGACAGAGTAGAGAGGAGACCACCATATGCGGAGCATCCACTGTGCACTCAGTGCTTTTCGTGCACTGTCCCGCTGCACCCCCAGAGCAGTGTCAGAAGGTACTAGAGTTTCGTCTACCCTGTGGGTAAACTGGAGCCAGGTTTGCCATCCACTGTGTCTAACTGCACAGCATGCACATGGCTTGTGGACAACAAGTTCACCTCCGCTCTCCTATTTGGTAATTGACTACTCTGGGAGGGGCCCAGTGTTGTTCCAATATGTTAGAGAAAGCGTTGGCACCTCCTTACGACTAAGTCCCAGTATGGTAGCAACAGAAGTTCCTTGACACTCCAAAAACTGCCTGACTTCACTTGCTGTAACAGCCAACCCCAAAATCCCACTGGCTCACCACAGTAAAGGGATGTTTCTTGTTCACACTGCAGTCTAACGTGGAAGGTGGGGGTGTTCTGGTCCGCGCAGTCAGGGGCTGTTTCCTTCTCTCTGGTCTGTGACTTTGCCAGCCCCTCAACCGTGGGGTCTTCTGCTGGATTCCTGATGTCAGGCCGCAGACAGGGAAAGGACAACACATGGAAGTTTGTAAGGGAAGTTTTCTGGGGCCAGGCCACATTCCATTGCCCAGAACTTGGTCACTTGGTCACACCTAACTGCAAGCGGGTCTGGGAAATGTCTAGCTGTGATCCCACAAAGAAAAGTCAAAATGCTCTTGTCCTCAGGGAGCCAGTCTCTGGTCCAGTGCCCAGATGCGAACTTTAGCCAGATCACTTCCAGCTCCTCGAAGCCCTGACTCTGATGTGGTGAGAGGTCCATTTTCATGACTCCTTCGGCCCTATTTCGTGCTCCTCACTGGGCCCAGCTGAGTAGTGCGGACTGAGCAGTTAAAGAGCATTGCTTCTCTGAGACATGATGGAGCAAATCTGAAAACTCACTTCTGGTCACAGCTGTGGTAGAGCCTCCCCACGCCCACCCTATCTCCTTCACCCCAACTCTGGGAAATAGACACCCTTCTGGTACCAAGATGCAGGATAGCTCTGGAGTTTCCATTCCACTTGCTGTGTGCCAGTGTTCTAGGAACTTCTTCTGGGTTATGTCAGTGTTTCTCTGGTATTAAACACATAGTTTGGTGGATAGGAGATTAAGTGGTACATATAAACCTTTCATTTTTACTTTCATGATTATTTATCTATTGTAATGTATATTAGAAAAAAATCACTTAATACCTAAAGCCCATAATTTCACATAAAATATCATTTAAGATGAGGCTTATTTGGGGGCTTTACTGATGTGGGGAAAAAAAAAATGACACATGAATGGCTGAGCTCAGTTGCTAGACTGCTTGATGAACTGTGGTCCCGGTGCTTGCGAGCCACGTAACCTCTCTGTACCGCTTTCCTCCTCTGTAGTATGTTCCCATAGTGTATGTAGAGCAGAGGGTGGTTCAGGCGTCAGATGGATCGATACCAGTACCTGGCACATGTTCTGTGCTCTGTAGGCATTAGGTCCCAATTATGAGTTATTAGGAACCACTGCGTCATATCATTTAACTGTGCCAACAGTCCTGTGATCAGTGTTATTACTGCCGTTTTACAGATGAACAAAGAAAGGCTAAGTCACTTGCCTAACTAGTAGCAGAGTCAGACTCTGACCCCCCGGGGGGCCTGACTCCTAGGCTGGGCACTGCGAGGGGAGTCCAGTTACATTCCTGACTCTGCCACTAACTTAGAGGCCCCCTTAGGCACCCCATCCCTCTCTGAGCCTCAGGCTTCCCATGTGCAAGGGGTCGGGGACCAGCTTAGTACTTTGTGCAAGACCAAGCTTGCAGGACTTAGGGGCTGCTATGCTCGCTTCAAACACAGCAGAAGCCTTTGCTTTAAAAAAAGAAAGAAAACAACTGGACCGGATGTGATCTAGATGCTACAGACTTTTCCCCTCCCAGATCCTCTGCCTGGCTGTGGATTCTTGCTGCTCTCTCTCTCCATAACACCTGAGTACTTCACTGTGCCCAAGCTTCAAACTTCCCCCAAGTAGAGACCATCCTTAGTTTAGTTTATCTGTTCATCTGTTGATGGACATTTGAGTTAGTTCCGTTCCGGAGCTAATATGGATAATACAGCTAGGACATTGATGTACCGGTTTTAGTGTGGACATATGTTTTCACTTCTTTTGGTAAATACCTAGGAATGGAATTGCTAGGTCATATCATAGGGGTATGTTGACTTTATAAGAAACTTCCAAACTGCTTTCTGAAGTGGTTATACTCTTTGAAACTCCATCAGCAATGTGTGAGAGTTCCTGTTGTCCCACACTCTCATGGACACTTGGATGGTCAGTCATTTTCATTTTAGCTATTCTGGTTTGTGCATAGTGGCATTTCATTGTGCTTTTAATTTGCATTTCCTGATGACTAATAATATTTAGCACCTTTTTGTGTGCTTTTTGGCCATTTATATAATACCTCTTTTGTGAAGTATCTGTTCACATTTTTTATTCTTCCTTTTTAATGGCTTGTCCTCTTGTTAATGAGTTATGAGAGTTTTTTATTAAAAATACATCCCAGATACAAGTGCTTTGTCAGGTATGTGCATTGTGAATATTTTCTCAGTCTGTGGCCTGCTTTTGAACATTTTAAAGTGAATTAGTGAACGGATGTTGATCGCTGACTCTCAAGGTCTCAGCTCTAGCTCAGACCCCTCTTTGAGTGTTAGGAACCCTTTTCTGATTATTTCTGTTTGGCTGGGAGATACCTTTATCTGCAGGTAGAGTGGTGGGATGGCATTGGAGCTGAACTTGTGGACTCTGGGATCAGACAGTCCTGGGTCGAAGTCCCCACTCCAAGGCTCACGTGTGAGCAGATCCTTCACCTCTGTTCTCTGAGCCTTGATTTTCCAGATTGTAAAATGGGAACAGTAAACGATGATCTCCTTGAGCTGTTATGAAGATTAAATGAGGTGCTGATGGTAAAGCACCTGGCGAGGGCACACAGAAGCTGAACTGCACCAGTTGGCAGTCTCGTTGCTAAGGCTCGTCAGCCCCCAAACCCCAGACTGTGCAAAACCCAGCCTCACGAAGCTGGCTTCCTCCACCCTCCTGCCTTATACTGAAAACACTCCTTCCTCCGGTTACTCAGGCTGAAAACCCTGGACTCCTCCTTCCCCTCCTGTGTGCCACTTCCTGTTTCAGAATGGCTCCTGCATCAGCCCCTTCCTCCCTCTGCCAGGCCCCTGCCCCAGCCGGGCTCCTTCCTCTGCACGCTCTTGGAATAGCTCCTTTCGAGATGGTCTCCCTGTCTTCTGTCTCCCCCGTCTCCCACCCTGCGTGCCGCAGCCGCCATTGCCAAAATCTTCCTTTCTGAATCAGAAACCGGCGGCTGCTGGGGTGGACGTTGAGGGGAGACCACTTTGTGAGGGCAAGGCTCAGCTGTCTGTCGCTCCTCCTCTGGTTATAAATAGCAGCTCTATTCTTAGCCCACCAGCAGTTAGTTCTCCTCCCCTACCTTCCAGAGCCTCCATCAGGGACCTTGGCTGTCCTTACTGGAGACAGTCCATTCCTTGGCCTTTGGCAGGACCCAGTCCTTTGATACGTGATCAGAAAATTCAATTACAAAACCAATTACTGATTTCCTGAGCTTTACAAGGAAGGCATGAAAGTTTGATTAAGTTTGAATTCCTGTTTGGCTGATAGCCAGCCAAGGCCAAATGGGCTTGTGGGAGATTTCTGTTGTTGATTCCGGTTTGTTTTGTGGCTGCACTCTGGGTGGGGGAGGAGGCACATTGGTTTTGTGTTGTGGGGTTTTTTACACCCCCCCTCAACTTGCTGAATGGCTGTTCCCCTGTTGTGATGCATAAGATGTAAATCCCCCAAAGGCCTGTTGCCAGGGCAACGGGCTCCGGAATGGAACTCATCTAAGCAAAGTCCTTCAGCTTTGAAGAGAGAGGCATTTGTTTCCCATGCAGAGTGGAATGATAGTGGCCGTCCACAAGGCTGCGTTCAAGGACGCCTGCATGAGCAGGGACGCAGAAGTGGCTCACTGGTCACTCCGGAGCAGCCTCAGTAGCGTGGCTGGGCTCTGATTGCTGGCAGCCCTCCCTGGGGATACACAGATGCTGGGCCCAGGGTCAAGGGCTCCAAAGACCAGAGCCCCTGAGGTGCTCTGTCCAGGTGGTCCCCTTTCCCCAGAACCTGCAGGGCTGGCCAGAAACGACAGCCTGCTGGACCCCAACTGCAAGGGCCCGAGGCAGGTGGGGACTGGAGGGCAAACCTTGATCTCCAGCTGAAGTGCCTTGCCTGTTCAGGTGCCACTGGCAAAGCGAGCAGAGCCTGTGACGGGGGCTGGCTGGGGCTCCAGGTCAGAGTCAGAGCTGGTTCTGGGACCCAAGTTCCTTCCCTAGGAATAAAACGAGAGGATCCTAGTTCTTTGGAAGCTGTAATCATCGCAGAACTCTTCCCACGGGGCGTGTATCACCCCAGAGTGGTGATGGGGCCCCACTCAAGAGTGCCTCCCCATGCCTAAAATGCCCTGGTTAAAGATGGGCCCTTTGGGTCTGAAAGGCTTTCAGGTCTCTGGGAATCCTGGTTCAAGTACTAATATCCCTGGAGGGAGAAGCATCTGCTGGGGGATTGGCCGTCAGCTAGCTGAGAAGAGAACCCTTTGGGAGCAGGGATTCCCTGTGCCCAGCGTGAGGTCAGATAAACTGCACCTGCCTCCCAGCTCACTCAGGCCAGGCCCAAAGCGACCCCTCACACCGGAAGACAGCCACACCTCTCACGTCTACGGGGTGCGCCCCACCTCACAAAGCACTCACACCGTGCCCAGTCCACAAGGCAGCCTCATGAGCTGGCCCCTTTGACCCCCAGCTGCAGATGAGGCAGCCAAGGCTCAGAGAGGTCAAGTGCCTTGCCCAGCAGCACACAGCTGGTAAGTGCAGATTCTTGACTTGGACCTGGGACTGCTGAGTCCATCCCATGCCTATTTCCTCTGTGCACATGGCCTCCAGCCTCGTTGAGGCCACAGACATAGTGCACCCACTCTGTTCGATTGGCTTGTTTGTGTGTTCGCTTGTTTTTACAAGGTGAGAATTTTTTGTAAGGTTTGAATTTGGGGTTTTTCCCTTTTACTTTTTTTGTTAATGAAACTGTTACAGCTTCCTAGTGGAGCTGTAATTAGGAGATTCTGGGTTAGTCATCTAGGCAGAATTGACAAATAACCAGGCAGTACAGATGGAGTACTTTTTCCCTTCCTTAGAAGTTCAGGTTTTGCCAAGTTGTGGAGAGGGAGTTGTGAAGATGGGAAAAACGTGTGCAACTGGGCTGGGCCAGGGAAGGTGATTTCCTCCTTACGTAGAACTAGACAATAAAAAGACATAGCTGGCTTCATGTAGGGTGATTTTTATACGTGTAAACATGAGGCAGTATGGGAGAGGTGGAGGAGACAGGTGAAGGAGGAACCCAGGAAGGGGACTGGTGCCCCAGATGGAGGAAGGGTTCCTGGAGCAGATGCCTGGAGAGACCCTGCCGTCACCATCCCTCCACTTGCACTTCTGAGTCACAGCGTGACAGCCACCCCGCATGGCATGTGGAGTGCGTGCAGGCAGGCTCTGTGCCAGACCCTGTTTTCTGGTGTTACCTGACATTCTTCATTTTATTAGTGATATGTTTATTTTCATGTAAGTCCAAAAATAAGTATGTAGCCCATCTAGCTCGTGATTGTCAGATATTAGAATAAGGCCAAAGTAGGGGCTTAACTTATTTTAAAAGTGAGTCAAGTAAAAGAAACATATTATGCAGATAAAGCCAGAGGTGTTACACAATTTGGGTAGAAATTACGAAAACAGGAGAGAAAGGACTGAAGTTTGGGAAAGCTTGCCTTTACCCATGTGAGCTAGGTAAGTAATAGTATTATGCTCATTTTACAGAGAAGGAAACTGAGGCTCAGAAAGGTTGAGTGATTTGCCCACAGTCACACAGCTGATAGACGGCAGAGCTAGGACAAAGGCCCAGGCCTGCCTGACTCCAGAGGCAAGTCGGCAGCCCCAGCAAGGCTCGGAGCCTGCAGCCCTGGTGAAGAGTCTCATCTCAGGCTCCAGGTGAAGTCCCCATTGCTGGGTTGGGTCAGCCATGTTCCTGGGGCTCTCCTCTGGAGACAGAAGGCCTTTCTGGCTCCTTGCTGCCGGGTTAGTGAAGGCGAGTTGTACTTGGGGGCGGCAGGGCCCTTGGCCTGCTTCCTCTAATCGGCTGCGTCTAGTTCTTTCAAATAAAAGCCTTTTCAGACAGGGCCTGGCGTGATACTGCACGTGACTGGCAGAGCTGCGATGGCCAAGGGCTCACTGTGCTCCAGCCCCGCTCCACCCACCCCTAGGGGCTCTCCTTTTCTCCCGTTCCTTTCTCCCCTGCTCTCTCCCAGCCCTTCCTTTTTTCCTTCTTTCTCTCTCTGATCACTTTTTCCAACAAGCTGTCGCCTCAGTATATCAAATGACTCCCGCATGGTTTCCAAGAACCTGCCTCCTGGAGCCTGGAGCCTTGGAGGTGGAAACACCTTTATCTTCTGTGGGCTGAGGCCTCAGGACATTATTAAATCTGCGTAAGGCGGTGGAGAGCAGCCTCTGCCATGCAGCGTCGAGGGCCAGGAAGCAGCATCTTCAGCAGGAGGGAAGTAGTCCCACAAGCAACTTTGCCTGGCTTATTGCTCCCCCGGGAGAAGTCAGCCCAGTTTACCCAGGCGCAGGTTAGAGCATCGCCCAGACTGTCAGAACGGATCTGCGACTGAGAGACCTCTGGGATCCCTGTGTTTATAGGTGGCCAACTTCCTCCTCAGGGATTCTGGGTCTGTGGCCCCAGACATGAAAGTGTGTGTGTGTGTAGTGTGTGTGCGCACATGTGTTGGGATGGGCAGTTCTGTGTGTGGTAGTGTGTTTGACTGTGTGCCTTCTCTGGGGGAGAGACTCTAACCTTCCTCACATCTCAAAGGGGCCTCCTATAATCCTGCAAAGGTTACACTCAAGGCCTACTATGTGCCGAGCATGTAGGCTGCTGGTTGAGGCCTCTGAGAAGAGTAATCCTCATGGGAATTAGAGTTTAGAGAAGATAAACTAACAAATAAGCAAGAAAAGCCAGGTCGTGCTCACGCAATGCAGACACTTTCAATAAATGGACGGCTGCTGGAAGTCAAGGCAGTAACAGCTCACCGTTGGCCAGCTGTGTGACATAGGACCAGCTGACATCTACTGACTGCTCACCGCGTGGCAGGCACTGTCCTAAAAGGCCTCACGGCACCGAGCAGTTGGGACTATAATGGATTGGAATGTTAAGGCTTGGTGAGCTCACACAGATGGTCAGTGGCAGAGCCAAGACCAAGATCTAGGGTTACCTGCCTCCAGATGCCTCACTGAGTAGAACACTGGCCTCTCCAGACTTCATTTTTCTCATGTGTAAAATGGAGTGATTCCCTATTTTCTTATCCCTGAGAAGCAAAAAAGAATATTTTTTAAAATATAAACTTTTATGCAAATAGGTCTGAAAATCCCACTCCTGCTTTTGACGCAGGAGCCCTTGACAGAGGTGCTGGCGTGTCTCTGGCAGTCCCACAGAGCTTCCTGAGTTTTCTTGGACTCCTTCAGAACTGCCAGTTGAACCACCAATGTGAGGAATTTTCCTTAAACCTCGTTTTACAAATTAGAGAGTTTAACTTGTCTCCCGCTAACTTGTCAAAGTTGCAGCAAACAACAGTTTTGGTTCCAGAAGCCTGACACTGGCCAGTACTGGTCCCGTAAGCTAACAGTTCTCACCAACCCACTCCCTGCCGATGGGCATCATCTCTCTCGGCCCGGTGCAAGGCCACGGTCCCTCAGATTCTGAGAGCTCAGCTGTGAGCCTGTGTGGCCAGTATGAACCCATGCCAGCTGACGTTGACAGTGGTTAATGCTTGGACCCGGCTAACAATATCAAATGGCTACAGTGGTCTAGAAAGTGGAGCTTAGGCCCACTTTAGCAATACACTTGACCAACCCTCCGAGAAATTCATGGTGTGACACACTTCATTACGTATATTGGGGTGACTTGGATGTGCTTTTGAGGATGAAGGCTCTAACAGAGCAGTGTGGTAGAGCCAAAAGCATAGGCTTTGGGCGTCAGAAAGATTTAGACACACCCCACTCTGGGGCCTTGGACCAGTTGCCTCTTAGACTTTATTTTCCTCTGCCGTGCTCTCAGTTACTTATCCTGGGGATGAAGAGGCTGTAGAAGGTAAGGCTGTTTTTCTGTTGACACTCGAAGTGCTTATCACAGAAGCAGGTAATTTTTTTCATTATTGTTATGTGTGCACAGGGAAATTTTTCTTTTTTGGTTGTGATTTTTTGTGTTGGTGAGTTATTTTTAACCAAACCCCTGACTTGTACTTGTTTTGCTGTGCGTTTCTTCCAAGTAGAATGCAACTAAAGCATCCTGCGGACTGAGGGGTTTGGTCAGAGCAGTTCTGGATATATATAATTAATCAAGCATAGTGGCCGTTATGTTGACTTATCACTGTGTGTCACGCTGAGCACTTGACTGCGTAACTCTTTTAAACTCACAGCCTCCCATGAGGTACCTTCTGTTATCATCCCCATTTGACAGATGCAGATACTGAGACTCAGAGAGGCTCTGTCGGTCTGGTTCCACAGTCCTCTTACTCTCACAGTGTTGCTGTCTGGAAGTGTGGGTGTGGCCCGGGAGCTCAGAGTCTGCTCTTTCTAGCCCCACTAACACCCCCTTCCCACCTGCGATGTTGAGTTCTCGGAGACCCCAGTGCCAGCCCAGGCAGACTGAGGTTCCCTGGGCCCTGGCTGACTGGCCATTCAAACTGTGGCCTCTCCTTAAAGGGTTTTCACCACCCCCTGCTCCTTCCCTCCTTCAAGGCCTGCTTCCTGGCCAGCCTGAGCTTGCTCCTCCTCTTTGCTGGGTGCCACCAGCTGAGCCACCAGCAACCCTGTAACCTTGAGCTAGCTCCCACCTCTCTGTGCCTCAGTTTTCCAAGTTGTATGACAAGGGAGCGTAGACGGCATCATTTCTCAGGGCTCTTCCAGCTTTGATGTTCCACACCTCCATCATCTCTCATCTGATGACTGCAGTAGCCTCCTTGTGTTCTTTCTGTGGCCACTCTTCCAGTCCCCCACACCCAGTCTGGCTGCAAACAGCAGCCAGAGTGAGCTTTCAAAAACGGAGCATCATTTCTCTCCCCTTTTTTAAGTCCTCGCATGGCTTCCCACCACACTTGGAATGCAAGTCAAGCTCCTCTCTGTGGTCAGCAGTGCCCTGTGTGTGTGATGGGGGTTCAGCCCTGATGCTGCTCAGAAAGCGCCTTGAGCACAAGCAGCCGCCAACGTGCCTGCTGTCAGGCGTCGTTGCCATGTGCCTGACATCATCACTGGGTATATGGATTCCTCACCCAACCTGTGTCCTCAACTTCGTATTTACGGCTTGCCCTGACATTTCCCTTTTCTTATGTGTCCTAAATTATTAAAAACAACTGCATTATAATTAATTGAATGAATCATGGAAAAACACTTTTTTATGTCTATAAATAATTCCACCTAAAATTTTTCTGGGAAGATAAAATGCTGTGACACCCGATGCACGCCATCTTGCTCCCTGGCCTCAGCTCATGTACATCTGGACACCACCTCTGGAACTCTCCCTGGCCTGAAATAGGACTTCCAATGTCAGTCAAGGTGGGGTCAGTGGAGAAGGGCCACAGGAGTAAGCAGCCTTGGACCACTAATTCTGCCACTTCTGGACACTTTCACATGATTTCACCCCTGCCTTTGTGTGCCGGCTCTGTGTCCCGTCCCACGGCTGAGGTGGAGTGCTCCAGAATAAGACAGCTCCCGCCCCCGGAGCGATCACAGTCTTGTTTTCACGACTGACACACACAAGCCCATTGAGCAACTAACTGGTGCGATTCAGAACCCAGTGAGGGCCTCAGAGGAGAGCCAGGTATGGAAGCTGGTGCAGAGCCTTCCCAGAGCAGGGACTCTCCACCAGCATGTCCTGGCACACAAAAGGGGTTACAGGTATGCCTGTGGGTTACAGGTTGTCTCCTCTGTTTACCGAAGGTGTGTACAGATGCCATCATTTTCTACATGGACACAGACATGGGAAAGGCTGGGAAAACCCCTAGAGGAGGCAGAGCTGAGTCAGCGCCTTAGGTGGCGAGGCCTTGGGTAGTGATTTCACCTGGGGCAGGGGAGCCACCTCATGACTCAGACATTTTAAGTACTTGCGTGCTTGTTGCAGCATCACGAAGTGTGATGGTTGACAACGACCTCAGAGATGATCACACCCACAGGGTGGACAGATGTGGCTTATGTGCTATTGTTGACCACCAGCCCTTGTCCCTGGCAGTCACTGTTCATCAGTCACAGCACTGACCCTAGCCTCAGAGTCCTCTCAGGATAGCCAGTACCCCAGGCAGCCATTACTGTTGATGAGAGCTGGCCCTCAAGTTGAAGCCAGCTTCCCATCTCTGGTTTACCCAGTGTAGCTCCCTTGTTTTACAGAGACCGGCAGGGGAAAGTGACCTGGAAGGCCACAGAGGAGAGAACACCTATTTTGCACGCCAAGTCTTCTGCTTTTTGGTGCTTTCCGTGCCAAGTTCATTCATCCAGTAGATGTGCCCCAGCACCTACTGTGTGCCCAGCTCTCTGGTAGATCCTGGGTGCAAGATGGGGCCTGACATAGGGGCTCAGGATCCAGCGGAGAGACCTGGTAACCCATAACCCTAGCAGGTAGTCAGGGCCACACTCGGTGCCACCTCATCATGGGGGCAGCGATCCCGCAACCCCAGACTTCCGTGAGCCCCTTGTCTCTGCCTCACTTGACCCTCAGGGGCTTTGCCCACAGTGCTAGCACTTGGTTCTCTTCACTCCTTGCTGAAGTCCTTGCCCCAAATTCCAGTCTTGTCTCCAGGGCTGACCAAGACCTGTGGCCATCCCAGGCAGGCAGATCACTGGTCCCTCTTCAAGCTGGTACTCTTGAGATGGTGTTCACCGTTTATTCACTGGGCCCAGAGAGAGCCTGACTTTCTATTAATGAAAATTTTTTCTTTATTGTTCACAATAAGGGATATATGAGATGCAGTGAACTTGACGTCACATTTTAACTTTTTGGGAGCTGGCTTTTATGTCCGTCATCTGTAACAAGAGAAGACTGGTTCCTCACATTCCCTCAGGGGAGAAGGAGCCCGTGTGGACGTAATTACTGAGTTAGGCTCAAAAGTAAGGTTACGAATTCCTTTTTTTCTTTTTCCTCTCTTAGGCAAACATTCTCCATTTTTCTGTAGTTCATGTTCTTTCTTCAGTTTTCACTTGCGACATCCCAAACCAGACAACTTCTTAGGAGGAATATTAGAAGATTTGAAATTTAGTTAATAAAACAGATGTCTTTCCCTCTGTAAACAGCGCTATACTGTGCATGACTCAGTTTCAGAATTTCACTGACCACCCATCTCAGACTGGCTGGGATTGGTGAGCTGACCTGCCCCTGCATGTGTGTTCTACACGTATGCAGAACTGACGTAGGTAGGCACCAAGGGAGGACACTGTCCCCCTCTGCTGGAGCAGAGCCAGCACACTCTTCTGCATTCGCTCTGGAGGCATCCAGGGCAGGCAGGTTAAGCGGCACACACCTGGGACATTTCAGCTCCTCTGTGACTGCTCTGCCCGTGATCCATCTCTCCTGGGTTTCCTGTTGAGGTAAGCAGAAACCTTGAGAACACCCTCTGGGCAGTCCCTTCTCTGCCTCCTCAGGGCTCACCCTGGTGCTGCCAGGCCTTCCAAGGACAAGGAGATGGTACCTGGTACCCCTCTCGGCTTATGGCCTAAATCCATTCATTCCTTCATGCATTCCACAAGCAGCACCTTGTTAATGGACCAGATAGTCAACAAAGCAGATGCAGGCCCTGCCCTCATGTCTGATTACACATTGTGATCAGTGCTGTTAAAGAAGGGAAGGAATGCTGACATGAGAACAGCAGGAAGCACCTGCTTTAGAAGGAGGGGCTGTCAGGGAAAGCTTTCTCTCCGGGATGTGTTTAAACTGAGACCGGAAAAATAAGAAGGATCCAATCTTGCAAAGACTTGGGGTAACAGGAGGGGCCATGCAAAGGCCCTGAGGTTGAAATGAGTGTAGCAGGTGTGTGCAAAGCCTAGAAAGGGGGCAGGATGGCTGGCAGGTGGTAAGTGAGGGCAGGGGTGCCTCCAGATGAGGTTGGAGGGAAGGCAGGACCCAGACACTAGGTAGAGTTTGGAATGATGGAAAGAGAACCGCCATTTCCAGCCCCAAGGAGAGCCCCATCTTGGGGGCTGTATCAGTTTGCTAGGGCTGCCATAACAAAGGACCACAGACTGAAGGGCTGAAGCAACAGAAATTTATTTTCTCACAGTTCTAGGGGCTAGAAGTTTGAGAACAAGGTGTCAGCAGGGTGGGTTTCTTCTAAGGCCTCTCCTCGGCTTGTAGATGACCATCTTCTCCCTGTGTCCTCACATGGTCCTTCCTCTGTGTGTCTGGGTCCCAATCTCCTCTTCTTATAAGGACACAGTCATATTGGATTAGAGCCCACCCTAATGACCTCATTTTAACTTAAAGCTCCTCTTCAAAGATCCTGTCTCCAAATACAGTCACACTCTAAGGTACTGGGGTTAGGACTTTTACATAGGAATTTGGGGGGACACATCTCAGCCCCGTAACAGGAGCCTTCCCTGACTTACTCTTTGAGGACAGGCTTGGGGTTGTGGATGAGCATATTTAAAATGCCTGGGGAGGCCAGAGGAGAGCAGTCCTAAGTAGCCTGCTCTGTCTTTGTTGGGAGCAATGATTAGCAAGCGTTTAGGGGTATCAAAGACTTAATGGCATCAAACTGAGACTTTCTTACCCAGGATTAGTCAGAATCCTTGAAAGAGCATTGGAAACCTTCTGGGTGTGATTCCGTGGTGTTAATGCAGGGTCCCCAGTGGCCTACACTTTAGGACACTCTCCCTCGCCCACATGGGCAGGGCAGTCAGCAGTCCAGGCAGGGAAGTGCGTGACAAGCCGAGTGAGGAAGGGGAGTGGGGCTGCCTGGTGAGTGGGCTTTGAGGGGACAAGGGCACTGGCCAGGCCCACCTGGGCTCCTCAGTGTTTTTTCCCAACCTGTAGCGTAGCTCCTTGCTCAGGAAAGAGGCCCAAAATGTGTTGTGCTGAATTGAATGGAGGGGAGAAGCCCCAACAGACCTCAGGACCTACCTTCCCAAGAGCCCTCAGATCAGTGGGTGTTCAGCCTCCGGAGCCAGGGCGCAGCCAGCCCCAGTGCTGGAGGATCGAGGTGTCTGCGGACCTGCAGGGCAGCCTCAGGTCGCTCCCCCACCTTATGCTGAAGATAAAAATAACTGCAAGGAGGGAAGTGTCCTGGAGAAATTACCTTGAAACTCAGAAAACATGAAGCCAGGCTCCATCTAATTAAGATGACATTTTAAAAAGGGGGGCAGGGGAGGCCTGGGTGGCATTTTAAATTGCAAGCTGATTGTGCAGCCTCTCTAATTTTGGTTCTGAGCGAAGTTTCCAATTGGAACAGAAGCCCTGACTTCAAAGGCACCGCCTACCGCTGGCCAGGCAAAGGGAGTGAAAAGAGCAGCATGGGGCCTCTGGGCACAATGCAGCCGGGACTGGAGCAAAGGCCCCCAGGCCTGGGGGCCGTGGGGGCCACAGCCCCGGGAGCCTGCTCTGCCTCTTAGGGGATCAGTGGAGCCGCTCCTGGGAGGAGAGCTAGTTGAGGCAGTGGCCGTGTCCTTGGAGGGTGAGCTTTTGTCCATCTTAGGGGCACTCCCTGGGCAGAGCTCTGACCCCGGCTGGCCCCAGGCATCCGCCACCCCAGCCTCTCCCTGATGCTATAGAAATAGGCCTGGTTCTTGTGTAACGGTGCCCAGGACCCTCTTTGGGAGGTCCCTCCAGGGGACTGCTCCCTGCCAGCCTTTAAGGCCCACAGGTGGAGAAGGCCTGCTCCCTGCCTCCCAGAATCCTGGGAGAGGCAGCCCCACGTGGGCCCTGTCAACTTGGAAGGCAGGAGGATGGGCCTCCAGTGGGGAATGTGGTGGCCGGCTGGCCCAGGGAGACACAAGGCACAGGATACTGTCTCCTGCTCTCTGGCCTGAGTGCCTCAGGTGTGTGGGGAGCAGCTGCCCTCAGAGGCTCCTGCATGTCCCTCTTCTTGTCCACCCTGAGTTGTCTCACAAAGCTGGCTTCACTAGGCAAGCTTTGGGTTATTGTTGTTATTGCTCACACTGCTAACACTGACCTGCACACACGCACACACCATGATTTAAGCATGTCACAGTTCAGAGAGCACATTCACCCAGACAGACCCTGGGTTCTCACAGCAACCCTGGGAGAAGAATGTGGCATGAAAACACCACTGTTTACAGTTGAGGAAACTAAGTCACGAAGAATTGAAATGACTTTCCTGCACCTTTTGGGGCCAAATGCTTGGGTTTTCCACAAATCTCGCGTGGACTCGTGCCGCTCCTTCCCACTTGCTGCCACTGGACGTGCCACCCTCCTGGCTCCTGACCCATCAGGGAAGTCTCTGTCCCACCCCTCCCCTCTGCTCTCCATCTCACACTCTCTCAGCAGAGGTCTTTACCCACTTTCTATGTAGGAAGGGAGGCAGGATGGTGAGCTGGATGGCAGATGGAATGAGTTCTGGTAGATGGCAGGCAAGGTGGCCTTGGTTCCTTCACAGTGGGGAGCCACCAAGGGTTTCACTGTGGTGCAATTGAAAGCTCTCGCAGCAGATTAAAGGAGGAGAGAGCCTGGAGGCCAAGAGACTGGTCTAGACCCCTACTGTCATCCATGCAGGAAAGGTGGAGGGGCTTTGGAGGGGAAGGAGAAGGGTCAGAGTTCAGACCTTTCTAGGGGCAAACGAGTTCTTAGAAATCAGTTGGCTGCAGCAACAGAGGAAGAAAAGAGAGTGGAGCTGACTTTGGGGTCTGCAGCTTGTGTGATGGGAAGCACAGAATTGCCATTGGAAAGGGGCTGTGTCCCCAAAGAGAGGTGCAGGCATTCCTGGGGCACACAAGATGACCTGGCAGTTCGCACAGACCAACATCTTTTGCTTTAGTAGTCTTATGTATTTTAGTGTATGTTAGAAAAATTATCACACAGACCTCTACTTTCATTGATATTATTGTTTAAGATAAGCTGATTTTTTTAAATGAGTCAATTTAATGTCATTTTTTAAAAATTGAGTAAATAGCAGCGGTGGTATGCTGATACAGCAGAGATTATGAGAATGAGACAGGAATATGGTGTGGGAGCCTGTAGGATGGGAAACCAGGAGCAGGAAAGAGGGGAGATTGACCCAGGACACGCTGAGTTGAGTTGAGGTCAGGTGGGGTCGCTCAGCAGCCCCTTGCACAGGAAGATCTGGCAAGATCTGGCCCAGGGAGAAGGTAGCCTGAGAAAAGGCAAGAAGGGGTTTGAGGACTGAGCCCTCAGGAGCTTAAATGTCTGGTGGAGTGACGGGCCCATTAGGGAGACAGAGGGGGCTCCCAGTGTGCTGAGGTGACCCAGAAGAGATCACAGTGCTCAGGAAGCAGTGACTGCAGGGCCCAGCACCCAGAGAGGAGAAGTGAGCAGATGCCCGGCTGGAGATGAGAAGGGCACTGAGAGCCCTGGCGTGAGACAGGGACGGGAGGCGACAGGACAAGAGGGGGAAGGCAGGGAGGACAGCGGCTTGAGGGGGAAGCAGGATCAGAGGAAAGGCTTAGGATGGGGAGGCCAGAGTGTGAGTGTAGAGAAGAGGTGAAGAGAGAAAAGCCCAGGGAAGGAATGGGATGAGGGTGCAGGCAGAGCAAGGATAGAGACTCAACAGAGACGGAGTGTGGCCCAGACCCCGCCCCTACCTTTTCAGTGAAATCTAATGTGGATGAAGAGCGCAGTGGTTTTCCTCTTGGGGGTTTCACTGAAGTTCGTTTGGTGGCTGGGTAGAGCGTTAGAGTCTTGGGAGGGGGCAGTCCTGGCTTTGGTTTCAGAGACCCCAGGAATAGGTCATCCTGGCCTCCCCACAGGCAGGCAGAGGGAAGAGCTGTACAGCCCCCGCCTGGGGGACAGCCCACCTCGCTGGAGGGCATGTTCCTGCTCAGCCGCATGCTGCTGGGGACCAGCGAGCAGGGCGGGTATCCTTCCCTTCTCCCTGCTGGCCTGGGGGCTGGGCACTCACCTTCCCTTCTAAGAGGACGTTGGCAGCTAGGAGACCCAGAAGTCAACACGACAACAAAGTCCTTGACAGGCCAGTGACCCTGGCTCCCCTGCATCTGTGTCCAGGCAATTTGGGGCAATCGTCTTTCAACAAAGATGAGGCATTAGGTTGTCTGCCGGGGGTTGGGAGGTGGTGGGGGGAACATGGGCAGACTCGTTGTTGCCATTCCTCCCCCTCAGGAAAAGGGGAGGCATGGATGCCCTTCCCTTGAGAATGCCACGCGCTCTGGATGCTGGAACCACCACTGAGCTCATTCCCTCCTGAAACCAAAACCAGGGAACCGCCGAGAGATGCAGGACAAAGACGGAAACAGGAGGTCTGTGGCTGGTGGGAGCCAGAGCCTGTGGCATGCCCTGGTCCCGTGCTGCCTGCCAGCAAGCAGTGTACACTGCCGGTAGAGTGGTAGTTCTTCAGTCTTCAGGGATTCAAACCAAGGCCCTGCTGGTGGGAGGAGGGTCAGGGCTGTGCAGAATGAGGAGGTGAGGTGAGTTTTTCCCAGACCCGTGCCTGGGGGCCCTGACCCCAAATCATTGCTCGTGGGTATATGCCTTCTGCTCTGAGCCCTTAGATCATGCTGGCCATGTGCCTGCCTTGTACTGCAGGGCGGCACTTCCCAAAGCGAGGGAGAGTGCGTATTTTAGTTAGCGTGAAGGATGAACATGCTGATTTTTATCTTAATAGTTATTAACGTATTTTAATACATATGAGAAAAAGATTAAAACTACCATATCCAATATTTTTTTACAGATATTGTTAGTGATACTAAATTTCCTTTCTTTTGAAATAAGTTTAAGTAGATGAAAGTCTAAAGAGAAATGTTAAGTAAATTATAGTGCAGGTGGTAGGTAAACGCAGCAAAAATTTAGCATCATTTATTGCGTCTGTGCCGTGCAGTGTTCTGTGATGCAGTGGGGAGCAGAAATCGTGCAGGGGCAGGGGTGTGAGTGACTGAGCCTTGGGGACACCACTGTGGGACACAGCTTTCTCCTTTGGGGGGAATGGCAGGGAGCATAGATTATTTGATACTCCAGAAAACTTATCTCCAGCCTTCGCTAGCTTACAATCTGAGTGAGAGGGCCATTTATTGCTTGTTGAAGCAATCAATAGAAGAGAACAGCCAGATAATCCATAATCTAGGGCTAAACAGAGGCCAGATGTCACACAGGAAACAACACCAGGAGAGGAAGAACACGAACAGGGGAGATTTGTAAGGGTACCATGAGCTGCGACAACAAAAACACCCCAACATTTCGTGGTTCAAATGCAACAGAAGGTTATTTCTTGCTCATCTAATAGTCTACGGCAGGTGCTCTGCGTGGGCGGGTGGCTCTCCTCCACATGCTGATTCATGGACCGGCTCCTTCCATCTTAGGGTGCCGCCCCTCCCACAGAACTTTGTCATCATGTGTATTTGGGGGACATACTAACATCTTAAGAGCCTGGGCCCAGAATTGGTGCACTTCACATTCACACTCCTTCAACTCCAGCTCAGTTGCTTGGCAGGCTGTGGCCTGCAGGAGAGTCCCTAACCCAGGGGTCACGAGAGGGCTGAAATCCACACCGCCACCTCCTTGCCAAGCCATGCAACCTGGAGGAAAGAACTTTTTTCTAACTCCAGCAAAGGTACTGTATGGGCTGGCTTCTACCCTCGCTAGGGCTGAGGAGAATGGGTATGGAAAAGGGGTGAGAGGAGAGAGAGAGGCAAAGGAAAGCTAGAAATGCCTTAGTAGGGAGTTGAACCTGAGCCCAGGTGGCGCCAAGCGGCCTCGTTTGTGGCCCTGCAGTTTCAAAGAGTGAGGGCCAGCCTGAGCCAGTGCACCACCCCTCGCCAACTGGGTAGGGGGTTCCGTTGCTGGCCCTCTCACTCAATGAGGCCTGTGCAGCAGTTCCCAGCATAAGGCAGAATTGAGGCCTCAGGCACTCCCATGCTCAGGTCTGTACAGCTGGGACCTTGTCCTGACCCCATGCCCATGGTCACCCAGTGTCAGGGAGATGGAGATGCCATAGGCTAAGGGAGGAGGAGGGGTCGTGCACCTGATCCCAGGCATTGGAGAAAGCTGCTGCTGTTAGGGCACTCAGGCTGGAGCAGCTCCCAGCCACCTGGCCTGAGCTGGACACAGACCCTGCGGGATACAGTGCTCCATCCTCCCCCCATGCTGATATGGCAGGAGAGACAGGCCCCTAGAGGCTTTGCTGTGCCTGAGCCTCCCCTAGCCTCTGCTCCTCTCTCATGGCCAGGCACTTCCCAGCGTCAGAGGAGCTGGCATCCAGCCTGGCCCCACTGTGCTTTCTACTTCCTGCCCTGCCTAGGGTGGCCCGCCGGGACCTCTCTGCCAGGCCCAGCTGGTGCACAGCCACAGGTGCCACGCCGCCTCTCCCATGTTTTGGTTGACAGGAGTATTTGTCACCCTTATTTTTTACAGCTGTCGCCATCCCACCTGCCTCATGTAAACACTGCCAGCATCAACTCATTAACACTGGGTCCCCAGGGTGGGCACCAGCCAGAACCCCTGGGAGCTCTGTCCCCTTAGCAGCAGGGCTGAAGAAAGCAAATGATGGCAGCAAAAGAGTGTCCCAGATGCCAGCTCTCCCAGGCCCTGCCCTCAAGGAGAAGTCAGGAGACCGGGCCCGGCTCTGCCCTTGGATTGCTGGGTGACCTTGGACAAGGCCCCACCTCCTTCACTCAGGCCTCAGTTTTCCCCTGCAAGATGAAGTGGCGAAAACAGGGAGCAAGCCATGCTGCATGGTGACTGCAGAGCGTGAGCTGGAGCCGGACAGCTGGAGATAATCCCAGCTCTACCACTTGCTAGCTTGGTGAACCCAGGCCAGTCTCCTAACCCATCTGAGCTTTGGTTTCTCTGGTTATAGAAGGGGAAAAATGATAATACTTGTGAACATTAAATGAAATAAAGCCCATGGGAAGTGCTCACTAAATACTAGCTACTGCTCTTGCCTCTTAGGGCTCCTCCTTGACTGCCAGCGTTCAGAGCAGGTGTGTGTGTGTGTGTGTCTGTGTGTGTGTTGCCAGCTCCAAGGCTCACAGTAGACACTGGGGAGGCTCTGGTCCTCTGGGCTAGTTGGCTTAGCCTGCCCCGGCCTGTGACCCCAGAGGTCCCGCCTCAACCCCAACCCTGGCAGCCTTCCACCACCACTAGCCTTTGGCAGAAACTCATAATTCTTGATTTTCTAACTGAGAGGTGTTGGCTGTAGCTTAAGGCCCCACCTCCCCGCTCTTGAGAAGGTCAACTGCGCATCAGTCACACCTCAGCAGGTGGAGGCCTTACGTGTGCTGGTTGGAGGGCCCTGAGAGACCACCTGCCCAGGGCCCCTCTAAACAGGGGCACGTGCCGCCAGTCTGTGAGGTGAGATGGCGTCAGTGGTGAGATGGTGAACGGGGTCACCACATTTACTAACATGGGTTCACCAAGTCAGAAAGTGATTCCTTCCTCTCTTTCAGCCTGAGCACCTCAAAAAAGAAGTCTCAGGCTGGAGCTGGTACCTCCTTAACAGCTCTGAACTATCCCCCTTGTTAACAAAGAGAGAAGGGCCTCAGGCCGAGAGCCTTCAGCAAGCAGCAGGATCCTGCTGGAGGTTAAACAGCAGTGTTCTGCTTTCACTGTAGTTATGGGTATCGTCTATTTAAAAGACTTCAGGCAGGTTTTTCATTTGCCATAAGGACATGAAGTTTATAAAGTACAAAGATGTGTCTAAGAAAAGAAATAGGTGGTAGTCCTCAGGTAGAACACGACTTTGACAGAAGTTATAAAGGTGTTCGGGGATAACATTGGGGAAGGAATGACCTAGTCTAGCAGTTCTCAGACTTCTTGGTTTCAGGACACCTTCACACTCTTAGAAATTGAAGACCTCAATAAACATTTTGTTCATGTAGGTTGTACCTATCAATTTTTAATTAGAAATTGAAACCAAGAAAAATTTGAAATATTTCTTCATTTAAAAATAACTATAATAAGCCCATTACACATTAATATAAATAACATTTTTATGGAAAATTACCATATTTTCTAAAAATATTTTAGTAGGAAGAAAGTCATTGTTTTACATTTTTGCAAATCTCTTTAATGTCTGGCATAATAGAAGACAGCTCAGTTCTAATGTGTGCTTCTGCCTTTAATCTCTTGTGATGTGTTGTTTTGGTTGAAAAATATGAATAAAATTTGGCCCCACACAAACACATAGTTAGAAAAGGAAGAGTATTTTACTAGCCTTTTCAGATAATTCTTCTTTGAAACTCAAGCAAACTGGACAAGTGGTACTTTCTCAAAGGATAGTTTCAGTCTGAAGCTATGTTAATGACCCTTCCTATTCTGTTATGTTAAAATCCATTGGTCTCCTCAACACATGGTGCTGGAACAACTGGATGTCCATGCAAAAAAATCTAGACACAGACCTCTTCACAAAAATTGACTCAAAATTTATTGTAGACTTAAATGTAAAACATGAAACTATCAAACTCCTAAAAGATGACAGGAGAAAACCTACATGTTTTCTTGGCCTTGGTATGGCAATGCGTTTTGAGATACAACACCAAAGGCACAATCCATGAAATAAATGATTGATAAGCTGGACTTCATTAAAATTAAAAGCTTATGCTCTGCAAAAACAATGTCAAGAGAATGAGAAAACGAGCCACAGACTGGGAGAAAAGATTTGCAGAAGATATATCTGATGAAGGACTATTATCCAAAATATACAAAGAACTCTTAAAACTCAACAATAAGAAAAAAAAAACAATTAAAAAATAGGACAAAAACCTTAACAGACACCTCACCAAAGAAGATACACAAATGGCAAATAAGCATATGAAAATGGACCCCACATAATATGCCATCAGGGAAATGCAAATTAAAAAAACAGTGAGATACGACTGCGTACCTATTAGAATGGCCAAAATCTGGCACACTGACAGTACCAAATGCTGGCGAGGATGTGGAGCCACAGCAGGTCTCAGTCATTGCTGGTGGGAGTGCAAAATGGTACCACCACCGTGGAAGACAGTTTGGCAGTTTCTTACAAAACTAAACGTACTCTTACCATATGATCCAGCAGTTGTGCGCCTTAGTATTTACTCCACAGATGTGAAAACTTACATCCATGCAAAAACCTGGGCGTTTGTCACAGCTTTATTCATAATTGCCAAAACTTGGAAGCAATCAAGATGTCCTTCAGGAGCTAATGGATAAGTAAAATCTGGGACGTGCACACAATGGAATATTATTCAGCACTAAGAAGAAATGAGCTGTCAAGCTATGAAAAGAGATGGAGGAACCTTAGTACATATTACTAAATGAAAGAAGCCAATCTGAAAAGGCTGCATACTGTACAATTCCAACGAGATCACATTCTGGAAAAGGCAAAGCTATGGACCCAGTAAAAAGATGTGTTACAGGGGTTGGGAGTGGAGAGACGGATGAACAGGCAGGGCACAGAGGATCTCTAGGGCAGTGAAAATGCTCCGTCTGATGCCATAATTGTGGATATATGTCATTCTACACTCATGTAAACCCATAGAATGTACAACACCAAGAGTGAACCCTAAGGTTAACTAAAGGCTTTGGGTAATTATGAAGTGTCAATGTAGGTTCATCCCTGGTAAAAATGCACCGTCTGGTGAGTGTTGTTAATCGTGGAGGAGGTTATGCATGTGTGGGCGCGGGGGATGTATGGGAAATCTCTACCTCCCAACGATTTTGTTGTAAGCTTAAAACTGCTCTACAAGAGTGAAGTCTTTAAACAAATCATTGGTCTACTTTGCCCTTTGCATGGGTCTCTAACCCACACGTGATTTTTAACTTCATTTTGGTAATTTGGAAAATGTTGGTTCACTGCGTTACGCACATATTCCAGATGTTGACACGTTTCGGCATACAATATCAGAAACTCACTTGTGTAACGTCAGCAGCAGTCTTATCATAAAAGTCTTTAGGTATCGGGAAGCTGTCAGGCTAACAGTGGTAAATACAAGTTTTCCAAAATTCTGGTTTTTCACTTGCAAGCCGGAATTTTTTCAACTTGGCAGCGAATATGTTAGTTTTCTTTGAAATAATAGGCTCACTTAATTCCTTTTTAGAAAATATCTACCAAAGACCAAGTCTGAATGACCATTGTTTGACTGTCAGGCGTTCTTTCAAATAAAAGCAGTGTCCCCTGAGAAAAGGGACTGTGACGGCTGGCAGCGCAGTCTGACAAGTGCCCTTCTCCTTGAGACCACCAGTCTCCTTCCGTTTGCAGCAGAAGTGTTTTCTGCATGCTTCCCATTTCATCACACAGAATGTGAAAAAGACATGTACTCAAGGGTAGAGATTTTTAAAATTCATAATTTTACTACTTCATCAAGGACGTTTGAAGCAGAACTGGCATTTGTTTTACTGTGACTGTGTGGTGGCAAAGAATACAAAGGCAACTAGTGCAGTTTGCTGCCACCACCTCCTGCTAAGGGGCAGGCACTTTTACCTGCTATTGCTTTTGTACCCTCAGTGTGAGTGCTAACACTGTTAGCAAGGCAAACAACGTCTTAGTATTGTATGAAAACAGTTTTGATGTTATGGACCCCCTGAAGGGGCCTCAGAGACCCGCATGGGTCTGCACACCACCCTTTGAGAATCACTGATCTGGCTAACCCCCTCCTTGTGCATTTGGGGACACTGAGACCACGAGAGGAGGTGAGACTTGCCCACGGTCCAAGAGCCAGTCAGAGGCAGAGCGTGGGCTGAATCCCAAATCTTCTGACACGTGATGCACTGATTCAGGCCGTGTCCCTGAGATCCTGGAAGCAGGGTGACATGCTCCTCTTGGAGCAGGAACAGTGTCCGATCACTTTAAGGCATGGTGCAGGAACTGATGTTCTCCAGTGAAGGGACAAGGATACAGGAAGGGCACCCATCAGCCAACCTGGCCTCTTCAGGACTTGCTCGGCTGCCCCGAGCCCCCTGCCATGTGTGTCCTGTTCCAGCATCCATCTTTTCTCTTCCATCATCGTGTTGCTAATATCTCCCAGCCGAGGCAGCTCTAATTAAACTACTCACCATGGTCACTTTGTGTTCTGAAGAGCCGAGCTTGGCCATTAGCACTTTTCTTTCCCTGTGATTGAGCTCTGTGTGGGTAATTTCATTCTGCCCTTGTTCATTTCTTAGAAATGTAGCCTATCCAATTTTAGTTCTTTTCTCTATCTTAGAACATTGAGCTCAGGGCAAAGGAGGCAGAGGGTGAGGGCGCCATGGATTTGTAAATTTCTGTCCCATTCACCTTAAAGTTTACTTTTGACTGAATAGTGCCTGCTTGGTGGTTCCCCTGTCCGCCATGCCCCTGTCTAGGAGAGACGCCCAGAAGGTATGGACTGGCAGGTCTGGACTGCCAAGGGGAGAAGGGTACCAAGAGAAAGTGGCGCGACATAAGGCTGTCCCAAAGGAGTGACGGTTGCACCTCTGGACAAGCGGGCGCTCGCACTCTATCCTTGGGGATCTAAGTCTATCAGAAGCCTTGGCGACATAAACACACCAGTGCCCCCCAGGGCCCAGGATGGCCTCTGTCCTGAGTCCCCCGTCTCTGCCTGTCACACACATAGAACACCTCTCTGTGCTCTGGCAGGCCGGCACTGGCAGAGGCGCCAGCCTCCTCCATGGGCCCTCACCTCTTCTACGCTGGCCTGGGCATCTCTTGCTCGGAAGCTGTGGACCGACTGCTGCCCTCTCCCCTGCCAGCCTCCCTACCTGACACTGGCACCAGACGCCGGGCCAGTGTGATTTTAGGAGACACACGAAGGAAGCGGCTTCATCTGAGCTGCGGAGGGGCTGAAAGCTCAGGCGCAGGCCGGTGCCCCAAGGGCCTGGAGCCTGGGAGCACAAGGAGAGAGTGGACACCCAGCCCCACGCTCAGGGAGTGTCAGCCCTCGCTCTGTGAGGCTCCGCAGGGAGAGTTTTCACACCCTCAGAGCTGCTCTGCGATGGGACCCAGGCTGCCTCCCCATCAAGATGGACAAGTTCACACACGTGGACCAGCTGTGCAGGCAGGGTGGCCGTTCTTACTGTAATGTCTAAGGGCTGTGTGGACCCTCCAGGCCCTGCCATTGTCCTCAGGCTGTGCAGGTGGCTGGAGGGGCATCTGACACCCTCCAGGACCCGCTGCGTCCTGGCACGGCCCTCAGTTCCCTCCTCAGGGAAGACTGGTGTCTGGTCTGTGCCCTGCCTTCTGGGCAAGCTAAGCCCTGACTGCACATCTCCCAGTCGTGCTCCCCTCACATCCCTGGCCACACTCCAGTTTCTCGTTGGGACCCAGCCCTTTCTCAGTGGTGCCTCTGTGGATGGGCCTTGCCTGACTCCACAGCTTGTGCTGAACAGCAAGGCCAGATCCTGCTGGCTGTTCTGGCCCTAGCACCCAGCCTGGGTGCAGCACTGGGAAGGTGCTCAGGCAGCCTGTGGTAAAGGAACATTCGCTGGTCTAGCACTGGTTTCTTCTGCTTAAGTTGGGCCAGGGCCGGGGGTGGGAAACCACACAGTTGCAGGGCCAAGCAGGTGGTGTCCAGGTGGAAACTTATATCTCAAGTGCTGACACCAGTGACAGGGCCTCGAGAGACTCAGGCCTCTCTCACCACCCAGCCCCTGGTTCTTGAAGATATGTAGTAAGCCAGCAAAAAGGGCTGCTTCTGAACCACTGGGAGATCCAATGTTCAGAGACTGTAAAGGGTGTGATCCTTCAGAAAGTGAGATCTTTCAGAAAACCCAAGACTTCTCGGCCTCCACAGGAGGCAGCCTGGGCCCAAACAGATAAGGTGCTCAAAAGGGCTTCAGACAAATCCCTGAAGAATCCAGAAAGTTTGGACTACCATCTGAACCCAGCTGGAGATCTTAGGAGAGCCTTCCTTTACAAGGCCATAGGCCCTGGACAAAGAGGGGTGTCATGGAACAGAGGGAGGGACAGTCAAGGGGCAGTTGTCCCTGATGTGTTCAGGGCAC